GCCCTACTAGTTTTTCTATTTTTAGTAGAGATGGGGGTCTAACTCTTGCTCAGGCTGGGTTTGAACTCCTGAGCTCAAGCAATCCTGCCTCGTCAGCTTTCCAGAGTGCTGGAATTATAGGCGGGAGCCACCATGTGTCTGGCCCTTACAAGGGTCTTTTAAAAAAGGTGATTGTGTAGTTCCACTGACCCCGAGGAGTCCAACCCTTAACTAATGGGAGGTGTTCATCCAGGTGCCTGGTTCACAGGCATCATGGGATTCTACACGTGACTTGTAGTTTTTTTCTCTTTTCTCCCTGGTTTTTGTTTTTAAATTGCTGGGTGCTGCTGTGTTTATATAGCCTTGGAGAGTTTCCTTCAAAATGAAATCAATACCGCCAGCCCAATTAAATGGGAGAACTAGTTCCAAATTGCAGAAAACAAATGCTTCCAATATCTGCATTTCAGAGTCTGTTGCTGCTGGAGTTACTCTGACAGAGGAAGAGAGAGGGTCAGCTGGAGGCAGGGGGCAGGTGGCTGAGAACTGCAAGGGACCAGGGCATGCACTGAACAGAGGCAGAGATGCTGACCTGACCAGTAATTGCTTGGAACCCGTCACCACTGTCCAGTAGGATCTCAGCCGCAATCTACTTGTGTGAGGAAGGGTTGCTGAATCAGCAAAAAGGATTGGAAAAGAAATGGGAGAAAAGAAATGTAGAGTGGATGAGAGTAATGACAGTGTTTATTTCAACAGGCTGAGGGCTGGGTGTCCCCATGTGGGACTCTGTAGCCTTTGCTGTGTGGAAGGAACCACCCTAGGAACATGACTCCCCACTTCCCATGTGCCGACTGTGTGCTGGGCGCCCAGTTCCTGGAGTTCTCACAGCAATCCTATAGGAGCCACTGTTATTCCATTTTACAGAGGAGAAAACTGAGCTCAGAAACATTAAGTGACTGCCCAAAGCCACATGCCTGGCGGGCTTTGGAGGCAGGATTTGAATCTTGAGAGGCCAGTATGTTATCCTTTTTGGGGACACATTAACAACAACATATAAGCTTCCGATGACATAAAAATGTCCCTGAAATTCTATTTCCTACCTGGTTTGATTAACATACTACACTGAAACAAAATAAGTTTGATGACACCAGGGCCGGCCAGGAAGTGGAGAACCACAAGCCCTGGTACACTGCAGGGTGACAGGACTGTGGCTCAGGGGTTTCTAGACTCTAGAGCAATTGGCAGCTTTCAGTAAAGTCTGGAGTGTACTTGACCCAAGAATTCTACCCCTAGGCATTTAGAGAAACCTTCTGGAGGCTGGACGAGGACCAGGAACTGTGCTGATACATTGGAACTGCCCAAAGAAAGCAGAGCCACCCCCACCCCATGTCCCTCTTGGCTGGTGGAGCTTTGGGGAATGGGCCCAGGTGCTTAAGGCCAGAGGCTGAGTGAACTCTGGGCCTCTGGGAGGGGCTGCTAGTCCTGTGGAGCCCATTTAGCCAAATTGAGGGGGGGCGTCATTCTCTCAGGGAGAGGAAGATGGGAGCAGGGTCCCCAGCTCACCAGGGGCTGAAAACTGCACCTCTTCTCCAGTCCTGAAGCTCAAGCTCCTGGCCAGGATGCCATTCCTGGCTCACCAAGATACCTGTCACTCCCCCGCTCCCTTAAGTCGGGACCCTTAAGGGACCCAGGGCGGTCTCCCCCCTACCCTGCAGCCCAGTGGCGGCGGCCGCTGCCATTTGCAGCACACAATCCCGGAGAGGGGGAGGAGGGCTTCTGCCTGTGGGTTTATAGTCCAGGAAATGCATTTTCAATTGGTCCCAGGATGCTCAGATTCAAGAACCAGACACCACCTCCTGGGGGTGGTGGTAGAGGAGGAGTGTGTGTGGAGGGCGATCCCACCCTGCTCCAAAGCGCGACAGCTCCCGGAGTGGGGGGTCTACCTGTTGGCCGAGGCGCAAGGCGCGCGGAATTTGGGTGACTGCTTCACGCATGCCTTGTGGCTCTACCTTCCCTGAATTTATGGGGGGGCGGATTTGCCAAATACATGTTTTCGGAAAAGAGCATCCCTTTCCCCTCCCCCCCACTCGGACCCAAGCTGCTAGGGAAAAGGATGGATTCTTTATCATAGGAAAAAACCACCTGTGGTTTGTAAAGAGCCTCTCAGTCAAGCCCGGGGCAGGTGGAGCGGACCCGAGCAAGGAGGGCGAGGAGCGGGGGCAAAAGGGGTCGTGTGCCCCGGCGGACAGGCAGGAGCAGGGGCTGGGGCTTCCCAGCTCGCCGGGGCCGGCTTCGCCTCCTGGCTCCTGGGAGGGGCAGAGAGCGCCCAGGGTGCTGGGCGCCTTCCCATTACGCAGTTCCTGTCCCTTTAAATGCAAGTCCCGGGAAAGGGGGGGCCGGGGCGCCCCGGCTGGACCCCTATTCCCAGGCTGGCCGGGACCTGGGGGACAGCTGGGAGGAGGGCGCGCCGGGCGGAGGTGCGGAGGGCGGGGCGCCCCGGGG